GAGAGTGGAAGCTAAAGCGTGCTCTGCAGGACATGGAGGCGCCAGCGCGATCACTTGCATTTGTTTTTAATAACAGCGGAAACTTAAAAATACGCCGTCATTTTTGCTCATAAAGGTAAGAGTATATATCATTCAGAACTGCAAAGAGTCTACTTGTATTTGTGCGCACTCACAATATCAACAAATCCTTGTGGTTTTGTAAAATAAGGAAAACAAACAGGATGCGCTTTCTGTCGTCTTGGTCTTGAGCAGGAATGCTTCACCAACATGATAAATATATCTATAGAATGCTTTAAATTACTATTTTAAAACGAAATCATTCAAATCGAAAATTTCATTATGTAATCCGTAAAGATGCATTTCTCTCTAAAGGCACGTCCAATGAGGATGGATAGTCAACTTTGACTCAGAAAACATTAGTTTATTAACAAATAATTCAAATATCCCCTCACTATCTTTGACTTTTTTTGTTTGTTTTTTATTTTATTATAATTTTTGTTTGTTTGTTTCTTTGTTTTTTTGGGCTGATGTGCCAAAATTGTGTTTGCATTCAGTAGCCTATACGGCAGCATTTTTGTGCCATGTTTAAAAAATAACTAAATAAATAAAATTAATGTCATAATATTTTAAGAATAAAGTTAAAATTAAGATAATAAAATCATGTTATATAATGTGAACATTCCACCCATAGGCCTACTCTAAATACCTCATGCTGTAATAAACTACAGCATGAGATGTAAAGGCTCACAAGCCTATATATTTCAGCTTCCAGTTCATTTAAAAAAATGACTGATGGTTTAGTGAGGGATTGAGCTGCTCACAAGCAAGTTCGAAGCTGTTTCGTGAATCCTTTTGGCTCACTCTTTGGCTGAGACTTAAAAAAAAAAACTTTGTAGACCCATACAATGAGGCTGGCTGTTAAGACTAGTTTTTTTCATATTTGCAACCACTTAAAATGTATATTTCCATTTTTCCTAATTATGCAGTTAAAGGTTGAGGATAGCAATTTGAAGGGGTAATTTGAAACTAATCTTGGTATGAATGGGGATATGATATGATTTAGTTGTTGAGTTTTTAAGGACATAAAAAAAAGTCTGTGGCATCCGTCATTCTTTTGACTTTTTTTTTTTACTCTGATCGATCGATTCATGAGACATTCGTTTGTATTAAGTTGTTCTGATTTTTTTTCTACATGCATTCACATATTCATGTTTATTTCGTGCTGCAAATATTAAAGAAGAAAATATAATTGATTCATATGCATTATCTCACTACAAATTAAAGAGTGTAAAAAGACGTTTGTTGTTTGTATTTTATCATAAAATTGACAGAAGGCTGAGACTTTGTAGTAACAAAGAGCAAAGCTGCGATTATTGGGTGGCTTGCGTGCTACAAATAATGAATGGACTTGAAAACTTTAAACAACATTTCCAAGCATTAGCCTATCCTACTCTAAATAAAACAGCTTGTGAATAGTCACGATTCACGTAACTTTATTTACTTCCGAAAAATCAAACGTACAAATGTTTTGCATATGGGCCCGGCGCTGACTTGCTACGCCACTGAATAAGACTGATATACCTGCGTTGTAACACAAATAAATGTAAGGTTTTTGGATTTTCCCCTTACTTTAAATGCATGCTTATGGTTCATTAGTATTAATCGAATAAAACAACAACAACAAAAACATTAAACTTTGAACTTTTATTAACAAAATAAATAAGCATATGTTTTACTCGCGATTAACACAAATAAATAGCCTATGGATTTCCCCTCAGGCTACCTTAAAATGTTCGAATTTTGTGATTTATTATCTTATTAATTAAAACACATCAGCCATAAAATAGTACAATGGCAAATTCGCATATATTAAACATCTACCTTGCATTGACAAAATGAATAAGATGGATATAGCCGTTGTAACCCAAATAAATAAGGTATTTCCCCTTATTTAAAACGAGTGCTTAGTTTGTGGTTCATTATTATTTTTTTAATGAAAACCCAGCAACAAAGACACTCACTTATAGGCTATTAAACGAATAAATGAAAGTTTTATTAACAAAAGTTGCGCTTTGGATACGCCATCATATAGTGTCAGTCTTCTCGCATCACTCTTGTCACGCGACCCCCCAGTTTTATTTCTCAGCCCCCCCAGCTCAAAATACGTTCCCGCGGCTATGCATAGACATCATTAACATAACCCTTATTACCAAATAAAATAATCTCTGTCTTATCTTCATTCAATTTAAGAAAAGTATTTGCCATCCAGCACTTAGCCTCTGTCAGACATTCATGCAGAGACTGCAAAGCATATTTATGGTCCTGTTTCAATGGTAAATCAATTTGTGTATCATCCACATACAAGTGATACTGAATCCCAAATTTTTCAAAATTAAAACTCAATGGCAACATATACAGAGTAAATAAAATTGGTCCCAGAATAGAGCCCGGAGGAACCCCACAGACAAGAGGAGCAGCAGAAGAAGAGTAATCACCTGAACTGACTGAAAATGGTCCTATACTTCAAATAAGAGAACCATTTTAGGGCTAATCCCTCAAAACCAGCATGATTCTTGAGACGAGCAATAAGTATATCATGCTGCAGTAAGTTTTAACAAAAGTAGAACAACACAACTTTATTGATTATTGTCTTAAACTAGGCCATCCAGTCCAAAACTACCCTCCAAATGCCATATCTCAGACTGCAGGCCCTGGACAGGTTCCTCCAGGTGCAGGGGTCCAGCCACAGAATCAACCACTTCCAGTTCAGACAGTCATGAATCAATCTCCAAATCCAATGCCTCAGCCAGGACAGCACCTTTCCACTTATCCTGTGGGAGGTTATGTAGTACATGGGCACGTTCCTCCGCTTGCAGGGCTCCAGCCGGGCAATTATCCACCTCCAGTTCAGATAGTCATGAATCCGTCTAGTCCAGGTAATCCAGCACCTCACCAGGTTCAGTCATATGCAGGGAAAAATAATAAATGTGTATGTGAATGACATATTTAGATATTAAAATGTTTAACTAAAACAAAGTATTTTCTTTCCATATACAATAAAAGTTAACCATTTTCAAATGTACTTTGTTGTCAGTTCATCCAGTGACATAGGAAGGAGTACATCAATACAAACGAGGACACAAATCAATAAAAACAAAAATGTTGATTATTGTCTTAAACTAGGTCATCCCGTCCAAAACAACCTTCCAAATCTCATGCCTCAGTCAGAAGTTCCTGCACCGGCTCCTCCAGCCATTGAACTTCAGTCAGTGAGTCAACCGCCTCCAGTTCAGCCAGTCATGAATCAGTCTGATCCAAGTAATCCTGCACATGACCAGGTTCAGCCATATGCAGGTAAACCTAGAATAAACGTATATCTGAGTGTTATTTAATATTAAGATATAAGAAATGTTACTTATTTTGAAGTTGGAAGGAAGTTAAACTTTTAACAACATCAAATTAAATTAATTCTAAACAAGTTAAACAGCTCAACTGAAGTAAAATCTGTACTTACCAAAATAGACTAAGTTAATATTTTGCACTTTGTTGAATAGTGTGTATGTACTTAATGAACATTAATGCTGTAAAGGCAATGCAAGTCTAATGATGGTGTATCTCCATCCTCCTAAACATCTCTAGCACCTGCAGTTCCACCACTAGTTCAACTTTATGGAGTACCACCTGGTCTCGAATACCTCGCTCAGGTGGGACTTAACTCTCTCTTTCTATCAATATATCTTTCTGGAAGTGTAATGTCTGGTTACTACCTGGTATTTTTTTGTGCATTTCAGATTGACCAAATACTTGTTCACCAAAAAATATCATGTATAGAGAGTGAGTCTTCTTATATTAGTCCTTTTTGTTCATTTTTATTAAGTGTGTTAGAACACTGCCAATGTTTGAAAACATTTATGTTAACACTTTGATGATTTCTAAAAGATTGCATACTTTCACCCTGTTTAAACAGAAGAGATATTTTAATCTGACAAACTATGATCATACTTGTCTACAGTGCTTACTGGCTTTGAGACTAACAACCAGTATGAGATCAAGAACAGCATCGGGCAAGAGATCTACCATGCCAAAGAAAAGAGTAACTGCTTTATTCGTAATATCTTTGGTTCAGCACGTGGTTTTAAAATGCGAATTAAAGACAACATGGGCCAAGAGGTCATTCAGATGGACAGACCAATGCGCTGCTGCCTGCAAGAGGTAGAACAGACTTTATCAGTTTTATCAAGGTTAATGTGGCAGCTAAATAAAACATTTTTATGCACATTTTGAAAGGAGCTCCAACATACTGGGCCTCAGACAAAAAACCAACAAGTAATTTTTTGACCTAGAATGAAATGTCATTGAAATCAGTTAAATTATTTATTTGACAATTTATGTATTTGCTTATTAAAGATTTGAATGGTTTAGCTTTTATCAAGTCACAACTATGTGCTGTAATGAAGGGCTGTTTATAAACTACAGCATGAGATGTAAAGGCTCACAAGCCTATATATTTCAGCTTCCAGTTCATTTAAAAAAAATGAATGATGGTTTAGTGAGGGATTGAGCTGCTCACAAGCAAGTTCGAAGCTGTTTCGTGAATTCTTTTGGCTCACTCTTTGGCTGAGTCTTTAAAAAAAAAAACTTTGTAGACCCATATAATGTTGCTGGCTGTTAAGACTAGATTTTTATTTTTTTTTCATATTTGCAACCACTTAAAATGTATATTTCCATTTTTCCTAATTATGCAGTTAAAGGTTGAGGATAGCAATTTGAAGGGTTAATTTGAAACTAATCTTGGTATGAATGAGGATATGATATGATTTAGTTGTTGAGTTTTTAAGGACATACTTGCAAGCAGCTGTGCAGGGATTTGGGCTAATTCTTTTTATGGGACACTGGTACAAGGGTAAACTGATTTAGCATGAGATGGACAGCGCTCTATTTTTAGCTGTGTTTACACGCTTCTTAGGCATGTGTCTATCACTATTTGAGTTATTCGATTCACTATTTAATATTCCATACTTTAGAATCAAGATTTTTTTGTTGTCACTCCTACACAGCCACATACCCTGTTCTTTTTGTGTAAGTAATTTAAATGTACACTTAAATCACTTAGAGTGGAGACGGATTTGGCACTGCTATTAAGACATTTGGAAACTGCTATACATTTCTATTCAGTGCTCTTGAATCACCTGCACACCTAAAGTGTCTTATAACTTTGTCTGATTGCACATATTTTCACATACTTTCTTTTCTTATTTATTCATTGATGTGAATTTTCCACCCTCAGATTGAAGTACAGGCTCCACCTGGAGTAACCATAGGCTATGTGAAACAGGAGTGGTCCTGCTTTTTTCCAAAATTCTCCATCCTGGACCCCAACAATGAGGTACTACTGAAGATCCGGGGACCCTTCCTTCCACTCAAATGCTGTGGTGACATAAATTTTGAGGTAACATTTATTTCAGACAAAATGAGAGCAATAATGAAATAATTTTTTACACTTAAACCTGTGTTAAGGTGTTTTGCATTTGATGTTAGGATTACACGTCTTTTGCACCACTAAGAAGGTCTGTCTTTAGGTAAAAGGCATGCTTGATGAACAGTCTATTGGTCGAATCACAAAACAACGGAGTGGTTTCATTAAGAAATGCATCAGTGATGCCACCAACTTTTGTATACAGTTCCCTATTGACATGGATGCTAATATGAAGGCTGTACTTTTAGGTGCTTGCCTCCTTATTGTGAGTATTAAGCAAATGACTTTGGTGATTCACAGGACATTGCGGTCTAACTGTAAATATTGGAAGTTCATTCGGAGCTGATATTTTTAACTGTTTTGGAAATGAATTAGACTTGGCACAGTATAGTATGAAATTACATCAATTAATAAAATATCAACAGTATGCAGTTGTGTTAAAATATGTAGTATTATAGTATTGATTCTTGTTTGGACTGATCTCTCTTCATTCTTTTTCCTTTCCTTCTCATAGGACATCATGTACTTTGAAAAAGGTGGAAATTTATTTCTAAAATTATTAAAGGGATTTTAAAATGCCTTCCTTTTTTTAAAAAAATTTAAGTGGGTATAAATTTTATAATATCCCACCATTTTCCACCCTGTCCCTGGCTCTCTAACTGAAAGGCTCAGTTTTTGTGGTGCTTGGCCTTTTTTGATTGGCTAAGAATTTTTGTCATAGGAAATAATGTAGTTTTTTGATAATACAAGAATATGTACCTAGGTGCTTTATTGCATTAGTAGAAGGAGATACGGGATTATAAGAGGAAAGATGCAACACAATATGTTATATATATTTGACAAATATAATATAAAGGAAGCATATGTAACATATGAACATATGGATAACTTTAAATTTTTTTTTGCAAGCAAGCATTGCTCTAAATGTGTGAGTCACACTCTGTCTTTTCATTTAAATTGACACATTTATAGCTGAAAGTTGGATATCTTCCTTTCAATACAGGATTGTGACTCATTACCCCTCCAAGAAGATATTAATGTTTTACATTATGATTTTTTTTTTACATTAGCTTATAGAATGTTGTGTGCAAAAAAAATCCCTTCTCTGTCATCATTCCATTTTAAGTCTCAGAGGAGCCAGTATGGAGTCTGTAAGGGTTAATAAGTACCTGAGCAAAATCCAAACTTTCGATCTGCAGATGATTTGATGGATCTGCTTTCCATTTGAGGGAGTTTTCTTTTCAGAGATCTGCTTTTCTCTCTCCTCCCTAATAGCAGAAAGAGTCAAATGCATGTGGTCTGAGTGAGAGTGTGGTATGAGACAGTACACATACTGTCGTCATAGAAAAAAATGCTAAATGGGCAGGCAACCTTTGTCGAGATGGAGAAACCTACAAGCATAAATGGACTCATTGGCCCTCATCTGTCCCCTCCCCTTCCTATCATTATGGATTGGAACAACATGGAATGGAATATTCTTCAGTTCTGCATTCCTCTTTAGTGAATTCCAGCACTTGTGGGAACACACATGCACTATTATGAAAATATTCAACAATGTTTTTCCATAACCTTGTAGTTTCATTTGTACAGCACAAATTAACCAGATTTACTGTCATTCGGTTGTATCTCTTCAAAATGTTAATTTTTGTTGTCACTCTTTTTCATAATTAGTATAATCATATTTTGATCTCCAGACAAATCAAATATGCAGCCAATCAAATACCCATATGTTTTTTGTTTTTTTTTGACATTTTAAAATTGGATTGTATTTTCTGGAACAATTAAAATGGCATAAATAGATTGATAACATTCTTTTGATTACTTATTGCATGTGCATTTTCATGTGTCACATTCATATGATTTCTTCTACCCAACAAAAAAATTAAATGTATTCAAATGTGGTCTTCTTTTATAACACGTGTACAATTTTTTAAAACAATACCAGACCAGTTCATTAACTGTTACAAATTGGACTTTCACAACAAAATCACCAAGGAACTAATGTCTTTTACCACAACTTGCTATGAACTATCAAGAAGAACATTAGTTTTGAAGCAGTCAGCTGAGGTATCTCTTTTTAAATAACACTATAGTTAGTCTTTAAAAACAGATAAAATGTTGGTCCCATTTTATATTAGGTGTCTTTAAATACTATGTACTTAATATTATTTATCTATTGAGGTGGGATATGGTTAAGGTTAGGGGCAGGTCTGGTGGTATGGTTAGGTTTAAGGGGTAGAGTTAGGGTCAACAGTGTAAATATTGATGTAACTACAGAAATTAACTGTAAATGTACAGTATTTTAAAATATAAGTACAATACATGCATTGTATCAAATGATTCATTTAAATGTAAGTAGTAAATAAGGACACATTACAAAGTGGGTCCAAAATGTTTTAGACTATTATGCCCACAAAATTAAAGGTTAAATGCACATTAAACTATGAAGTCAGGACCCAGTAGAATCATATTAGATAGGCAAGGGTTACATAACATAACTAGTCAACAAGACTTCTTGTCCAACCGGCAGGGCCGTTTTAACCATTGGGTTAGGCGGGGCTGGAGCCACAGGGCCCGAGCAAGGAGGGGCCCGTGATTGACTGTGGAGTAGATTGACTGGAGCGCCGATCGCCAAAGCCACCACGCCCCCCATTTATTAGCGCTGTTATTTAGTTGAGCTTTTCCGTAAATTCCATGCATTACCATTTGAGATAGAAACGTAAAGTCTGAGTTTGGTTTACCAATCAAATGCATTTATTCTATATTTGACTTTTGAACGATATGTGCACGTATCTATCAGGTGGTCGCTGATCAGTATGTCTGCATTCACCTCTCTTCACTTCGTTCTCGTGTAATCTGGAAATGGTCGCGCAAAGAACAACATTCAAGAAGTAAAAATGTCAGCAATTCTAAAAGAGAGAGGGGCTCAAAAAACGAAAAACTTCAAATACAAACAACATAAAAAACATGACAGCTATCAGGTTATTTTACTAAAGCTGATGATGGAGTGGAAGTTACTGGAACAGCAAGTGAACAGGGCACGTGGAGCAGATAAAAACAGTGTCATCGCCCACACAGATTTTAGGTTAGTTTGATTATTAACTGGATTTATATTGATTTTGTGTTTGAACAAACTATATTAATTTAAGGGTCGGGAGATAATCCGGTAGGAATATATCAATGGTTGATTGAAGCGCGTCATGATGTAGTCTAAGTTTATAATTTCAAGGCGTTTAGTTGTGTGTTACACCTAATGTTGTTAAATTAATGTTTATTGCATTATTTCAGTTTCATGTGTGTGACCATGATGGTGTTTGGTGTTTGTATGAATAACACTGTGCAGCTTCTATATATGTTATTATTTAAAAGCTGCTTGTGATGGGCTTTGGTTCATCATGTGACTTTCTCATCACCTGAGACTTTCTACCTGCATTTGGTGGTTATCAGATTATTACGAAGGTACAAAACAGATTTTAGTACTTCAATAGGTTGGTATATTAACATTATATCAGTTAATGAAATTACGGTATTTAACTAAATTTAAGTTAAAACTGTAAAACCTAAAACATTGCTACAGTATTTTTTACGGTAAAATTCCGGTAACCACAGCTGCCGTTTTTTTACTGTAAATTTTACGGATTTTTTTTTACGGTGTATTACTGACTAAACTTTCGCTCCTTGTGCTTAAACGGTCAAATACACATAGGTATGTGTTAAAATGCCCGTCTTTGCGAGTATCCTCGTAAACACAGTTATTTGTGTCTTAAATGAATGTTAACAGTTAAAGATAAAGCATGTGTTATATGAGATCCTTAGCCTATATGATGAGATCTTAAAAGGATATTCACCCAAAAATGAAGATACTGTCATATACTTACCCTCAAATTGTTCTAAACCTCTATTTAATTTCCTTTTCCTCCTCAACATAAAATAAGATATTTTGAAGAATGATCGTAACCAGTTTCTGGTCCCAACTGACTCCAATAGTGTTTCTTTTTTTCATATATAAGTAGTGAGGGCCCAGCAACTGTTTGGTTACCAATAATGTTCCAAATATATTCTTTTGTGTTCAACAGCATGAAGGAATCTCATACAGGTATTAAAATTGGTAACAAAAATTATGAAATTTCAGTGCATCAAGAATTTTGATATGGTATAAAAATCATATTTAAAGCTTTATATATATATATATATATATATATATATATATATTGGGTATTATTGGGTATATATATACTGGTATTATTGGGTATAATATATATATAGGGTATAACGGGGCTAAAGGCGCCCCGGGGTAAAAGATGGCACAAAAATGTGGCGTAGTACTTTCCATAACATCGGTTTTTCAAGATGCACGTGTATATTTGTCTGATCTTTGACGCGATAGCGCGCAGCAGTGCAAAGTTGATTCTGTGCTTACTTGATCTAATATTTTATGTTTTTAAAAATGTTGTAGATTTAAAGGGATAGTTCACCCAAAAATGAAAATTCTGTCATCATTTACTCACCCTCATGTCGTTCCAAACCTGTATGAGTTGCTTTCTTATGTTGAACACAAAAGAAGATATTTTGAAGATTGCTGGTAATCAAACAGTTGGTGGTTGCCATTGACTTCCATAGTAGGAAAAAAAAGTCAATGGCAACCACCAACTGTTTTTCATTTTTGGGTGAACTATCCCTTTAAGTAGCAAATGATAATCGCTCAAATTAATCCATATATTTTGAGACAAAGGTCTTCTTTATGATTTTCAGTTTTGTTTAAGATAATTAAAGCAACAGTTTTTAAATAACGGAAGAATATGTAAAAGTATGGTATTTGTGGTAAAAAGCGCCCCTGCTGTTGGGGCTAAAGGCGCACAGTAATTAACATGATAATGAATAGATGGCTGACTTTTCCATTTGTTGACATGACATGGTTAGATTCAGATGGTAAATGTCCATATTAGAGATAATCACCATGTTTAGAATGAAACCATCAAAAACATGATATTAATCATATCATATAATAAAATATCATTTGTTGTTACTACTGTAAATATATATTCAATTATTATTGGATTTCCTTCAATACTTTCAGAATCTTTACTTATTAAAACGATTTTGTTTCTGTATTTTAAAATATATTTTTTATATTAATACATTTTAATGACAGCATATTTATTGGAAACAAAATTAATACTTTTATTTTTCAAAATAACCAGAAAATAGTACAAACTTTGCTAAAGTGATTGTTTTGAACAAGTATTAACTTAGACATTATTTAAAAAAAAAACATTATTTTAGCTGAAGTATTTGTATACATACTGTGTGCCTTT